ACCCATCCACCATGACTCTCTGGGTGCGACCCTCCAGCCAATTCGCCACCCACCGGACTGTGTAGTCATCCAAGTCACAGCCTCTTAACTTGTTCACCAGTATGGGGTGGGATACCGTATCGAAGGCCTTCCTGAAGTCTAAGTATACGACATCCACCCCTCCTCCTGTGTCCAGGCGTTTCGTAACCTGGTCATAAAAAGAGACGAGATTCATTCAATCAATCAGGAGTAACTATTGAAGCAAATGGAAATTAAATGGTTTTCAGTGAAAGAAGAATCATGTTCCCAGTTTTTCTGATTTTACAAAGCCAAAATATGATAATTTATTACATTAAAGCATCTTTCATAGGAAAAAAATAACATAAAATAAAGAACTATTAAAATGATGTTTTCCTTAGATTTCTTTCTTCCTTTTAACTGTTTTACTGCAGTCTTTAAAATCATGTTGGAACAGAAAGGATAGGATGCTTTTTTTTAAATTATGCCTCCTTTCTTGCTTGTTTCACCACCAATATAAACACACTTGTTTCAGTACAGCTTCAAGTTGTGACTGACTTTCAGCTATGCAATTCTTACTTTTACTTCTATACTGAAAAAGCTAGTCATGTATTGTATCTGACTCAACAGTTGTCAACAGGAATATTGCATTGAGTTAACATTTTCCTGCCACTAGTAAGACTATAAAGGAGAGAGGTTATGTCTTATTATCAATTGTATTATTTGATATTACAACTACAGGAGGAGGTATTCAACTACTGTAAATACAGTCCCACTGTCATGCTCACTTACAAAAGCCGAGGATCAACTCAGACAAAAACTACAAGGAAAGGGCTGTTTCAGTAACACTTGTGGGGGGGGGGGGTGTCTGTAGCCCCTTAGAATAATCTGAAACTTGTTTGAGTTGAAACATCAAGGTTTGGTGCTGTTTATGACTAAATAAAACTGTCTGCTTAGCACATTTAATACAGTAGATTTCATAATTTTGTGCAGGGCTTTGTGAGTGCAGTGGATTTTCCTGTAGTGTTGTTGATTTGGGATCAATTATATATGCAAGACTGGAATCGAAAGGTGATGGAGAATTTCTGTCTCTCGATCCTTATGTTGTTAAAGGATTCCCTGATGGCTGCTGATGATTATCCAGCCATGAGAGAGGTATGTACATCAATGCTGCATATTACCATTCAGCTGTCCGCAATGATAAAAGTGGTCATAGAAGATGTCTGTGTAAAGGATAATTTTTTTTTTTTCAGTAATGCTTGTGTCTATCAAAGGGGGGAAATCCATGATATTCACTTTTATTGTAACACACGTTTTTATTTGTTCTTTTTTAGTTTTCCGGCAATAAAGGACAAAATATTGTCCTGTGTCACCCACACAACCTCATTGGCTTCAGTGTGGATGCTTAAGAACCTGAGAGCCAAATTTTGCCTGAGATGTAGAATCATAGAAAATTAGGATTAGAAGGGGCTTCAGGAGGTCCAACCACCTTCTCAAAGCAGGACCATCCCCAGCTATATCATCCCAGCCAAGATTTTGTCTGGCCAGGTCTTTATAAACCTCCAAGGATGGAGATTTCACAACCTCTTTGGGTAGCCTGTTCCAGTGCTTTACTACCCTCCTAGTGAGAAAGTTCTTCCTAATATCTAACTTAAACTTCCCCATTGCTCCTTGTTCTGTCATCTGTCACCACTGAGATCAGTCCAGCTCCATTCTCTTTATAACTACCTTTCAGGTAGTTGAAAGCCACTAGTAAGTCCCCCCACAGTCTTCTCTTCTCCAGACTAAATAAGCTTAGTTCCCTCATCCTCTCCTCACAAGTTATGTGCTCCAAGCACCTAATCACTTTCATTGTTCTCTGCTGGACTTCCTCCAGTTTGTCCACATCCTTCCTGTAGTGGGGTGTCCAAAAGTGGACACAGTACTCCAGATGTGGCCTTGCCAGTGCCAAACAGAGGTGAATAATCACTTAGTTCGATCTGTTGGGAAGTCCAAGCCAGGGGATTCTTTGTACTTCCCTCAAATCCAGGTGCTGAATTCCCAGTTAATATCAGTACTGCTGACACAGAGTATGGAGAACATACTCTGTTCAATATTGATTAGTATCAGTGCTCATACCAAAACATTGCTTGCTAAGCCCTGATTGAAAGTGCTTAGGCATCTGATTAAATCCATTGCTGTTCAGTAAAGCACATATGCGTGTGGTTAAGTCACACTGCAGCCATATTATATTAGCAGCTGTTTCGAGGCACTGCTTGAACAGTGTAAAAAGGCTTTAGTGTAAATAAGAATGGGCCTTTTTTAAAGCAAAATTCAAATGTTTGGCTTGTATATAATTAACTGTTTTTCTGCAATATAAAAATGTCAAAAACTTCTACCCAACTGAACAATGATCCAAAAAAAAATACCACCAAAAAATCCTTGCCTCTTGTGTATTTCCTAGATTATTACAGCTACAAAAACATTCCAACCCTACTAAAATGGAAAACAATTACTAGAGTAAACTGGAATTGTTTAGTTTTTATTGACAAACAAAAGCTGAGTAATTATTGTTCAAGTTTTTATCCTCATTGTTTAGCTAGCAAAGAGGTGGCATCCAGGCACTATTGCAGGGAGTACAATGCACAATAATATAATTGCAGGGAGTATAATGCGCAATATTTCACTTGGAATATTTTTTTAAGAAAAAGCCTTTATTTCCAGTCATGAAACATTAGAATCTGTAAAAACATTAACAGGTTTGTTTCATGCACACTAATGAGAATTGCATGCGCTCTCATTTTTTTCAGGTGTTTTTGTTTCATAGTTGTCAGCTTCTAACAGCTGATATTCAAATAGCCTGGATTCACCTACAGCAAGGTGGTTTACCATCTGACATCCCTGGGCTTAGCAGGATGAATCAAAGGTAAAGAACCTACTTTGGTTAGAAGGAAAAGCATGATTGGATTGAAAATATGAGACTGGAATTGGAGATTGTCTTGAAATATTTTTTTTTTTAGTGTTGAACACTTTGTAAACTGTTTTGCTGGGCCCCAGTTCAGCCAGATATTTAAGCAAGTGCCTTCAAAGTGATAGCCTTCAAAGCGAACCCTATGAAACTTCCTCAACTAGAGATTTGTGGTCACAAGGCATGGTTTAATGAGGGAGCAAGAAGTGAAAGAACTATCTTCCATATTTTACTTGGAGTATGGTTGACTTACTGGAAGAAAGATAAAACATAAATGTAGAGATACCTTTTACAGATATGTTATTAAGCAGTCAGAAATGCCCTTTGCCCTGCAGGCTCATTGCATTGGTGAGACTTTCAGGTTTTCATGTTGTTCCTCCCTGCTTATCACAATATGTGTCAATCATAGTATTGTATTCTTGAGAGTGTTGGCTTCAGGCACTGTGCTAAAATGACATTCTCAGATTTACCTGGGCATGTTCACATAGTTTGGAGGAAGGGGAAATGTTATGTTTCTATCTACTACTGTGTTACTCCTTCCCACTTTCTCCACCCACTAGATTTTCCTCATATAAAATATTGGCTTTTTGAAAGTCTGTGGTTCATTTGACTCACAAATGAGGGAGGGCAATTCTGAATCTTTCATTTATAATTAATATTTTATGGCTGAAAACTATGTCTGTCTTCTCTACAGTACGTGGAATCATTTTTAAGATAGATGTATAGTTGAGCTGTCTGGTTCCTTTTTTGTAACGGGCCACAAAATACTTTAATGAGCAAAAGTAGTTAACGTGAGAATTTTGCTCTTGCTCCGACTGCTGCATACTGCTATATGCATTGAAAATATGGAATTGAATTATGAGAAATGCTAATTGGCTTTGTTTGCCTGTGCAGGCCATTTGCTGATCTGTCTCCCAGGCACAGCTCAGTGAAAGGTATGTAACTTCATGTTGATGCTGATTATTTAGGAGCATCGAGAGGAGAATATACCTGTTAGTGTTAATGTCCTTTTATATCTAATACCTTGTGTCAGAGGAAAGATTTAAGCTGTAATTAAAAGCTCAGCTTATTTCTAAAACGTACGTAAGGCGGCTGCTGCTATATCCAGAAATATCAAAAGAAAATGCCTTATGACCAAGTCCCCCATCTAGGATGGGTCTGGCTAGTGGCTTGGAGGTCTGCTTGTATAGAAGAGAGAGCAAGATTTTCCTCTGACCTCAGCTTTCCTAGCAGCTATGTAGTAGTCCTGGTAGCAGCTGTGAAAAGTTATTTCTAAAATGTGAAGCTAGCACAGAGAAATTCAGGAGTGGCGGATTAATTGCTGCATTGGGAGATGCATAGAAAGGTATTTAGGTCAGTGGATGTGCTGTAATGAGCATTCTTTGTAAGACATTGGATTTCTGTAGGGGCATGTTTAAAAATGCCTGAACCTACAGTATAATTTTTCCTCTTAGCTTTTCCAAGACCATTTTTTTTCTGTCTAAAAGGCAGGTTCTCTGAACCTTTACATGAGTAGCTCTATTAAATAAGGGCTACTCACATGAGTAAGATTTTATAGAATCAAGCAGTTAAGTAGACCAGGCCATGTTCTTTCTTTTGATACCTACAGAGGGGCCTTCATTAACGGCTTTATCCAGCAACCATTAAAAATCAATGAAAAGTCTAACCAAAACCTTTGCTTGAGAAGAGTTGACTGGTATGTTTATGGAATTCATGGAAGTTTTGTAAAAATCTAAGCATCTTACCATGCAGCTAGAATCCAGTTCCCGGTGTAGTAGTTTCCCTTTCAATATCCGAGACTTACAGACGTTGTTTCATGTATAGTTGATGTGCTGCAGTATTTGAAATTAAACCTTTGTGATTTTACTTAGAGTAAGAAAATATGTTCTTTAACTTCATAGGTAAAGAGTAATATGTTTAGGCTCTTAAGCCAAATGAAGGCTGTGAATAATTTAATTTATAATCAAGGGTAGAACTATTTAAAACTTCTATTGGCTAATTACCTTTGGTATCATTTGTTTTGATAGCTGGAAAAGTTTTTCATGGCTTCAGGGAAATTTTGCCTGTTGGTGTGAAGGATGTTTTATTGAAGTTAGTTTTACCAGTACCTCAGGTTGAGATAACACACACTGTAAGTGGTAATTTTATTTTATCTTGTATGTTTTGACAGGATGCTAATCTTTAATTCCCAAAATAAAGTTAGTGCATTCTTGTTGAGACTGCTTGTCATCAAGATTTTTTATTTCACTGATCAAAGACCTAAATAAACTACGAGCTACAGAGCACTCCAGCATTAACTATTATTATATGCATGAAATCTTGGATTATGATTGGCTGTAAAATTATCATGTAGAGACTTGGTACATTTCTGTGGTTTATCTCTTCAGAAGTTATTAAAACTGAGTTCCTGAACATTTATTATCCAGTGAGTTGCATATACAAATAAATACATCCTGACTAACTGGAGACAATTAATTTAAATCTATTATTTCACCTCACTGGAGTGAATTAATGCTTTTTTCTGGCTCTGAGTGCCGCTTTCTTTTAGCTACTAAGGAAAAACTTACAATATTTAAGCGTATTACAATTATAAAAAGATTTCCAAATATTTCTGTGAAGATTTTCAGAGTACATGTAGTTAAAACAAAAAAAAAAGATTGGACCAAATCTTGTGTGTCAGGCCAAATGGGATTTGTCTCGTTAACTTTGGTACATACTATATATTTGCTTCGCTTCTGTCAGTATTTCTCTCTCTGGTCAATAAAGTTTGTTTTTTCACCACAACAAAAGTTAACATTTACTTACTGTTTTTGAGTTCACTGACAATGAATGAAACTCCCTCTTTAGAATCATAGAATCATAGAAAATTAGGGTTGGAAGGGACCTCAGGAGGTCACTTAGTTTGAAGCTGTTTATTTCATAAATTAAATTAGAAAAATGGATACACTGAGTAAGTACTGTATTGTAATGGTTTAAGAAATCACTGCATCAACCCACAGAATGGGAACTATACCTTGTTTGCTTTTTAAAGTAACGTTTTTCCTATTTCCTTGGATCTGAAATACCAGACCGGAAATATTTATGGTCAAACTCTTGGGTGAAGGATTCTCTTTCAAAGTCAAGGAAACTGCTTTAAACTGCTTTTAGGCTGCTTGCAGACATTTTTAAATAACCAAACAAAACCAAAAAAAGGTGGTTTAATTTAAACTTGGTGACTTTCCATGCCAAGCCCCACACATACCAAGAAGAGGCAGCACGTTAGTTGGATTTGGATCTGGCTCACTCGACATGTGCAAAGAGCGGGCTCTTTAGTGAGGCTTTTTTGGCACTTTTATCTAATAGCTGATTGAATCAGCTTTAGCTAAAAGCACCAAAGAGCCCCGCTGAAGTACCCAATATACACAGATGCTGCAGAGCCAGGTCAAAGTAAAGTGCTGCTGCTTCCAGTAAAGTGCGGTTTTTTTTGTTCTGTTTTGTTGTTTTTTTAACACCTGCAAGCAGCCTAGATTGGGGTGGGTGTGTGTGTGTGTGTGTGTGTGTGTAGATTTACTTTTCATGCTGAAGAAGAACTGTAGAAGCTTAACTGTAAACAGAATTTGGCTCATAGCAGTCTTACTGGGAATGATCATTGGACAAGCTTTTCACACATCCTGGGAAAATACTCCTCCTTTTTTAGTAAATATTTATTTCCTTGTACATCTTGGCTTGCTACAAAAATCAAAGAGAATTTGGGTTACATATGAACGGTGAAATTAAGCTCTTTTCCTGAAAATACAGGCCAGTTCTGGAACTGACATTTTTGTGCTTGCAGTGGATTTATGACCCTGATGGAAATTTGTTGTTTTTGTTTCATTAATGTCATATCTCTCTTTAGGAAACTTGGTTGAAAGAGTTTGATCCTCTTGCTGTGAGCTTAACAGTTTCAATATTTTATGGACTTGAAAAGCTGCCTTCCAAGTCTAGCTTTTCTAAACCCTCTATTAGACGGATAACCAAAGGAACATTGACGAAAAAACATGAAGCCACTGAATTTGCTTTTCAATTTGATGGTATGAAACTTTCATAATCTCATGTTGTATCGTGCATTCTGTTTGTTACTTTACAATTCTAGCTGAAAAAAGGTTTCTATCAAAGTATGAACAGTTTATGTTCATATATGAGAAGCAGATTAAAAAAATAAATAAAAGGAAAACATTTAAAGTGATTTGTGGTGCTCCCTAATAAGTTTCCTTTGGATCTTGCTGTAATTTTGGTCCTTCTTTCCATTGAACTTTTATAACCTTATGAAGTCCTTTTTTAGAAAGTTTCATGTACTGGAAGGATGAAGATTAATTAGGACCCTTCCTCCAAAAATCTTAGGTTGCCATTGTAGCTGGAGCTGCTACTCACTCACCTTATTCTAGAGGTGAAGCAGAGTAAGGTAGAATGGTCCTTGAATTCACCTACAGCATGAAATCCCAACTACACCTGTTTCTTTTCAATCAGACACATATGATGGTCATATCTCTTTCCTAATACTTAACGTTAAATATTTGTACAATATCAGGCATTATAATACGGATGCATATTTTTCCCACTCCACTTTTTCTTCTCTTCTCACATAATTTTTATGGCTAATTTGTTTTCAAAGGCCTTTTTGCCTTTCACCTCTCCTCTCTTAAAAGGCATTTCCTTCTATTCTAATATTGTGTTTTCCTCCTGGAAGTCTCTGTTGTTGTTGTTTTCCCGTTAATATTTTTTTCTTTCCTTTGTGGTACTTTACTCTGTATTCTTCCTTCCGTTAGGAAATTCTCCTTTCTTTTCCCCTAAAGTCTGCTTCTGTTCATGATTCCACTTTGGCACAGGATTGGCTTGGTGCTTATCTTATATTTAACCCCTATTAAGGTCATTTACCCTATTTCTAAGGAGATGTTTTTCCCCCTTGTTCTTCCTAAACTTCAGTCTCTTAATTTGTTCTCTACATTAAAAAATTCCCTTTAATAAAAGGGAATTAATGACTATGTGCAAGTGCACTAGGTGAGAGAGCTGCTGTCCAAAACATTAAAACATCTTCCTACTTACAGGACCAAGATTTTACAAGTAAAGGACAATGTTACTGTATTTGATTTCAGAATTTCTTTAACTTAGATAAGAAACTTTTTTTTTATTCTAAGACCTTTTATAGGCTTTTAAAGCTTCTGGATGAAAGTTTTATTCTTAATCTAATCATGTATTTAAAGCTATGAACCCCCCACTGTTGGTATATACCTTAATCAAAAGACAGAGTCACCTTGCCTTTGGTTGCTTCAGGGAAAGGACTGAGTCTTTTTTTAAAGCATTTAATTCCAATTTTCATAAAGCTTAGCTATTGTAAGTAGGAACATTCATTTGTGAGGCTACAGGCCAAATAAAACCAGCCCAATTCCACAATCTGTACCAAAAGAGAAAAGCCTTTATTAAGTATGAAACGTCTCTCATTGCTTCTATTCAGTCTCCATGTAACAACAGTTTTCAGTTACAGATATATACCAAGGCAAGGGGGTCAAAAACCTATAGGGCCTATGGAGCCCTATCATTTAGCCCACTGTGCTACCTACGGGTCTCAGACTGGCCTCTCAAGCTGCATGCAGCAACTGCTGGCCCTTTGTTTTCATTTGTTGAAATGGGAGCAAGCCTCTCTCTCATTGCATAGCCTTGGACTTTGAATTTGGGGCAAAGGGAAGAAAGGCCTCATTGAAAACCAGACATTAATTGAACTGGGAAAACAGATTATTCTCCCAACTTGTTCACAACGTAAACATTACATTACATTAGTATTTAAATTAATTTAACAGATGATCTCTTTTACTTTCTAATATACTAGACAAGTCAATACGTGACTGCTGAGATTGACTAATAGCCTCAATAAAATTGATTGGCTTAATTCGAACTCAGAAGCTATTTTTGCAAGTATAGTGCAAATTAATAGATATTATCACTTTATATAACAAAGTGTAACATAAAAATATTTTTAAGTTTCCAGCAATGGGAGTATCTTGGATGATTTAATAGATTTCATAGATTTCATAGACATCAGGGCTGGAAGGGACCTCGGAAGATCATCGAGTCCAGCCCCCTGCCCAAAGGGCAGGAAGTCAGCTGGGGTCACAGGATCCCAGCAAGATAAGCATCCAGTTTCATCTTGAAGGTGTTCAATGAAGGCGCTTGAACCACCTCCGGTGGCAGGCTGTTCCAGACCTTGGGGGCTCGGACAGTAAAGAAGTTCTTCCTTATGTCCAGCCTGAAACGATCTTGAAGTAGTTTGTGACCATTCGACCTCGTCATCCCTTGGGGCGCTCTGGTGAACAAACGTTCCCCCAGATGCTGGTGGTCACCCCTGATAAACTTGTAGGTGGCCATCAGATCACCCCTGAGCCTGCGCTTTTCCAGGCTAAAGAGCCCCAGGGCTCTCAGCCTGTCATTGTAGGGTCTGCTTCCCTGACCTCTGATCATGCGCGTGGCTCTTCTCTGGACTCTCTCAAGCTTCTCCACATCCTTTTTGAATTGTGGAGCCCAAAACTGGACACAGTACTCCAGCTGCAGCCTCGCTAAGGCCGAGTACAGGGGGAGAATGATGTCCCGGGATTTGCTTGAGAAGCATCTATGGATGCAAGCCAGCGTTTTGGTCGCTTTACTAGCCGCCGCATCGCACTGCAGGCTCATGTTCATCTTGTGGTCAGTGATGACCCCCAAGTCTCTTTCTTCCATAGTGCTAGCCAACATAGCACTGCCGAGCCTATAAGGATGCTGCGGGTTTTTTTCCCCAAGGTGGAGAACCTTGCATTTATCGGCGTTGAACACCATCAGATTCTCGTCCGCCCACTTGCTGAGCCTGTCCAGGTCAGCCTGGATAACCTGCCTGTCTTCTGGTGTGGATGCTTTGCCCCAAAGTTTGGTGTCATCGGCGAACTTGGCCAGTCCGCTTCTGACTCCAGTGTCCACATCATTAATGAAGATGTTGAACAGTATGGGTCCAAGGACAGAGCCTTGGGGGACCCCACTGGTCACAGGACACCACGATGAGTGACTTCCATTGATTACTACCCTCTGGGTCCGACCCCGGAGCCAATTTTCCAGCCAGTGGATCGTGGAGGACCCAAGGCGACAATTGGCCAGTTTCTCCAAGAGGCGATCATGGGACACCAGATTGAGTAATGAGTAATTACATGAGTTGCTGAATGATGAGTAACTAGGATGAGTAACTGAAGACGCAAGGATTAAAAGACATTTACCAGGGCACATGGAGCAAAGTAATTTTTCTGTTGAAATCAATGGAAAATCTGCAAGTGGCTTTGGAAAGGAGTGAAGAAAGTCCATTGAATAGGATGCTACAGGGCCAGTTCTAGTCACAATTAAGTTTGTCATTAACTTCAAAAGGAGTTTTGCTTAAGGAAAAAATGGTGAGTCTAGTGATATGAGTCTAGATAGTAATATGAGTCTAAAAAATAAGGTCAGGGTCTTTATTAAAATGAATAATACATCTAGAAAGAATCTGCTGTGCAAAAGGAGTAAAAGAATTGGACGTAGATTGTTAGTAAGGGTCTCTAGGGTCACTAGTGTGAAGACTGATTTACTTTTCTAAACTACTTCAGTATAATCATCAATGAAACAAGCAACAAGTTTGTCTAATAATTTCTAACTTTTTTATGTTAAGAATCATTTGCCTTTGATTCTCTGGATCCATCTGAGTTTGTAGATGTGACAGAAGCTAAACCCTATATGGTATTCAAGGTAGTTTACAAGTCTGAAGGAAAAGGTATGTAATCTGTTTTTCACGTTTTATCAGAACTGCAGCTACTGTTAAAGACATAGATAATGTCCCCAGACAGGCATTATATTTATTGCATAATTACTGGTATCATGCCACATGTACAAGCAGTTTATCACACAATTAAATGGCAAACCAGCCACAAAGACGTTAATATTTATTTTTGCTTGAATTTGCATATGTGTCATGTTAATTTAAAGGGTGTATGGAGAACCACTCTCTAGTGCTGGGCTGCCCCCGTGCCCTTTGAACATGCTGGCGCACAGGGAGCCCGAGACTGGGGAGCTGCTCCCAGATCTTGGGGTCCCAGTACACTGGCAAGATGACAAGGCATTGCATGAAGCACGATCCCCGATGCTGCACTTCCTACATTGCCTTTTAAAGGTGCAAGCATACAGGGAGATCAGGATCCAGTTCTCTGATCCCATGTTTCCTCACCAGCCAATGCATGCTGGGGTCTGGCAGATCTTATCTGGCATGGCAGAACACAGGATTTTTGGAATCCAGGATAAAATTCATCATATCCCATTGCATGATTAAATTAACATCAACAGGGCCCAAAGTGTCAGGCATTTTAAAATTTAGTAGGCAGAGTTCCTTGGGCAATTTACTACATGTTTAGTAGGCTAGTGCATTTCTTTTGTCATCTCTTGGGATTTAATCCTACAAATACTTTTGTCAGCACAGTGGAAACAATGTACCCAATAATAGCTACATTTACTTAAGCTGTGTTTACACAGTCATATTATGGTGCCCAACAGCAGCACCCTCAAACATGTTTCTGACTGGCTGCTTCCTGAACAGGAAGTAGGGTAGCTACATGTATGTGGTGTGATGGGTGGGCTAAAGAGCATGAGGACAGGCTAACGGGCAGTCACCCAGCAGTGCTAGTTAGCTCACCCAAAGTGCAACATGGACACAGATACCCTGCTTCTAGTTTGAGGCAGCACAGTGTACTCTTCATTAGACAGAGCCTCAAATGCATAAGTTTATAGGATCAAACCTTTTTGGCCTCACTCTTTTATATATTGCAAGGTCATCTGCTTCATTTGGGCAATCCTTGTGCTTATTTTCAACATGTAATCCTGAACTTTCTTATTTTATAAGTCAGAAAGCTGGAGGGAATTGCGTTGTACATTATTCCATGGGTATCCAGTAGCAGTTGATAGTGCTGCTTTCAAAGGAATAGGCTACTCATCGGCTGGGAATCAGAAACCATCTTAGCCTTTTTAACTTTTCCTAAAAAGTTGTTACACAGATTATGCATAGAAGCAATTTTAATGTTACAGGCTAATAGACTGTACATAATTTGGAAAGTTATTAATACTAAGTGCGTGCATGTGTACTACATTTTATAGACTCGTTGACACTTGGATGGCAAAAAGTGGATGCTTTTCAGCAAGAAACTAGAAATACTAGAACTATTTGGGCACCAAGAGAGTTTTCTGCACTTGTTCCACTGCATACTGGGAAAGTTGCTTACAATATTCTGGATTACTCTTTGGTTCATGACTCAAAAGGTAATTTGAAAAAATTAAAGTCATCATAGTAGCAAGAAGAGAAAAACTACTCAAATATGTAATGCATCAAATGTTGCTATCAGCTGTCTAAACATTTAAAACCTTTTCAGCTGCTAGAAGATTGCTTCAATGATGTTTAGGGGTAAATAAGTAAAATGGCACACTGAGATGATGATTGCTCTGATACTTACCTGCCTTGCATCTTCACACACCTGGGTAAGGTGAATATAAAATGGTACTGGCAGGGTAAGCAGCTGGACAGTTTTGACTTGGAAGCATTTTACACTCATTTCTTACTCTGCAATTACTTGGCACAAATGTAAATGGCTGCACAGATGCGAAGCAATGGGGAGTCAGGCTCAGTATGCTTTTGAACAAATATATTATTATAATTCTTCTTTTAAAATAGAAGTATACCATAAATGTAATTTAATCTATGCTGAAAGTAGGCAGGGTGGCACACTACTGAAGTTATCCTTGTTCTGCATTAAAACAATAGGTCCAACTTATTTTTTCCTCATTCAGAATAATTTTGCTTAAAAGTATGAATGTTACACTTTTTCAGCTCTTTCATATCAAGGCTTTTGACCCAATAGGGAACATCAAATAGGACCTGATTCTACAAGGTACTAAGCACTCTTACCTCCTGTTAATTTTTAAGCTGGTTGCATTTGCCAAATGATTTTCTAGTCGTATGCTATTCTCATTAGGACATTTTCCTGTTAAGCTTTTAACTATTTGGAGCCATTTTTTTAAACCAGTTCAGTGTGGTGCAAGTCTTTGTTGGACTGAAAAAAGAACTCTTGATTTCTAAACAGAAAGCCTTATAGATTAGTTGCTAAGTGTGTAGAGTAATATCTTAGTTACCTGAGTTATCAGTTAAATAATGAGCATATAGCTGTTCTTTCACTTGGTTCAAATGGAAAGTGGCTGTCATGTCAACAAGGTTCGAAGAGGTTTGTCTGCCAGTAAATCAAATATATACCAGCTCAGAACCATCCATCCTCCTTCATGGTATAACTTCTGATTTAGAGGTGAGACAGAGAGAGTAGAGTCAAAACTGAGACTTAGTTATCTGAAGTTAGACAACAACAATGTTCCATATACAGGTTAGGTACCTAAAGAAAAGCTATTATTTTGAAATGTGCTGAATACCCCACAGATTCTGTTATTTTCAGTTGGAAACCCAAGTACTTCTAGATCAGCAGGCCACGTAAAGTATGTAAATACGGCTTGGGATATTTAACTTGAGGCACTAAAATTTAAAAATGTTGGCTTGACACACTCTCACAATCCTCTATGTAAGTAAATGACAAAGCTGTGTTTAAAACTAGGACACTTCTGAAACTTTAGAAGACGTAAGTAACAACTACTATATGTATAATTCCTGCCTCTGGCTCCTGTGCTGAGTGTCACCACACTGGTTGTTAAAGAAAAAAAAAAAATGTAATTACAGTTACAGCTTAAATTGTGGCTTGCTGGAGGTGAGGACAGATTGAAAGGAGGTGTCAAGTGTAGGGACTAAGATTGGGGAAAGGCATCACATGATAACTGGGGTTCAGTGACAGGCAGGCCATCAGAAGATTCTGGATCCAGAAAGGGATACAATAGATGCAGGGGACAGGGTAGCCCCAGGGAGCATACAGTACAAAGAGGAACTGATACAAGGAAGGAGAAAGCAACAGAGCATGGAGATGGGGACAGGCAAAGCATCTAAAGATTAAAAATAAACCAAAAAACCTAAATGGGTCATAGTTGGACTGGTACAAACACACCAGATAGGCAGACACCACCAGACTGCCTCCTAAACTTTTAAAGCAGTGCTGATGCTTTCTGTAATTTAACTTCACTTGCAGCTGTGCCATGGAGTTTGTCTTGCTAAGATTAGGAATAATGTAGCAGGATATAAAGGCCATTGTCAGGGTGGGGGTATGTGCTGAGATATGCATGGACCACTCTTTTTATCCCAGGTCATGCTGCACTGTGGCTCTTGTCATAGAGGGCCTGTAGAATGGCTTTTATGCAGCTTTCAGTGGCCAGAGAAGGGGAGCCAATTTAAAATGGAAAAGCAAGGAGTTGTGTTTAATTTTCCCTATTGATTTTTTTTATGTAATATTCTATTAAATTTGCCTACATGATATAGTAGCTGAGCAGCATTTGACCTTCTGAGTATATTTCCTTCCATATAAAATATATGGCATAATTTTTTTAAATATACCAGTAAATATAGTTGATTTATCATAGTGATTCCATATCTACAGATTCTGCCCAGGGTTCTTCAAACATCCAGCTCACCATTTATGATGTATGGAAAGAAAGGCACAGACAGAGAAACAGCCAAGTAAAGAGAGAAAGGTAAAGCAAAAATTAAATGAAATGAAATTATAGCCAACAGAAATATTTTTCTCTCATTCATTGCTTGGATCCAGATGTAACTGTAGTCTTTATTATCGAATAACTAATATCAAGCTAAAGTCTAATTATAACAACAATTTAAAGTTTCAAAATGTGGACAGGCTACCAACCAGTCTTAATCCTTTCTACATGCAAAACTGTTTGCCTGTGATTACTAACCAGGTTCACTTAATTGATGTCTATTCTCTTTTAAATAAGTCTCTTCTGAACTTTACCCAAGTTCTCTGTTTTCAGCATTCAGCACTGCAGTGAAAATTTACTTCTTTCAATCTGGTTTGCTTGTAGACAGAGGCTGACACAGTAGATTTAGTACAGCCGCAGTATTAATGTTCAAAACTCCCATGCTGCAGTTTTCCCATATGCTACATAAAAATGCTACAGTTTCTCACTCCAAAGCTGCTGTATTAGGGTGTTAGCTGATTTTTATGCCTTCAACTTGCTTAATGTTTTCATTTATATACAATACAGTTTTATACAGCCTCCACCAAACAATGTATCGCAAAATGATTTACAGTAAAATCATAATTTATACAGAGTATTGATTTAGCATTAATTTTCAAACTCTGAAAGTCAATGGATCATAAATCTGCAAATAAATTGGCCAAATGAAAGACATAACTGACAAAAGAAATTAGTCACTAGAGAGTAGCATGTGTTGTGTATGTGCTTTTTAGATAGTTACAAGAAAAAATATTGGAGAAGTTTCTCTAAATTATAAAATTAGTAACATAAAAATAAAATAATGTGCTGAAATAGACAATTTCAGTAAAATAGCAAAGAAAACCACCCAAGAATCTGGATCATTGTCTTGACGTTCTGCCATCACAGTTCAGTTAATATGATTCAGAATCAGGGCAGCCTCCACAGTTTTCAGTGTTTTGGGGGAAGTAGGTGGGAGCTTTAGAATGCGCTAGAAATTCCTGGAAGCAGGTTTATATATTATGTTATAAAGGACCTAGGAAGGATCATGACTACTTTGAAAGCCTGATCTAAAGGCTGTTGACATTAATGGAGAGACTAATTGACTTCCATGAATTTTGGATCATAGCAAATGGACCGTAACAAAATCCATCTTTGGAACTTTCAGTATTTATGAGCTGATTGAACTGTGTGCTTTCACGTTTCCACTGGGAATCTAGCACCTGAAGAGCTTGATAATGCAAAATGAAGAATGTCTTCAATGCCCATTTACTTTAAAGAAAATTGATGTCATTCAGGCATCTGGGATTTTACTTCTTCTCATGTCTCTACACCATATTTGACCATTTTGTTACACATGCTTGTGCTCATTTATTATACTTTGCGAGGTCTTTCATTGTACATGTGCCTTCAAGCAGCAGGCACTACAGCAGGTGTTGCATAGTATGAAGCTCTGCTGTTGAACAAGTGGTATACCCCCACTTCTTTAGTTCATTGGAGCATCTGACTACAGTATGTAGGCAGATGAGACATTGCCACCTTTGCCATGGCTTGTCAGTCCCTGGTGGTAAGGACTTAGCTTCTGAAATGTCCAGTTCTCCCCTGTTGGGTATTTTTTTCAGCTTCTTGTTCCACATCTGCAGTCATGTCTTCTTGGGTCAAGAAGTTGGGTGCTGGTGAGGAAGCCCCTGCATGACTTCAGACATTTGTGTGTTGTGGGATGGAGGTACAGTTTCACATCTTCAGTTTGTCTCAATCGTTCTATCCTTCTGGATACTGCTCTTTGGAGTGATGTCAGCCAGCACACACCCACTGTTTAGGCTGGTAGGCTTCAGGTATCCTGTGATGCATCAGCAGCTGTCGTTCAAAAGGGGGCACTTAACACGTACAGATCTCTCCCATGTAGGGCATGCATACTCAGCAGAGGAGAAACTGAGAGCCAGACCACTGGTTCAGATAGTTGAGGGGCTAACTCCCCATTTCAAGTTGGTGACCTTATATACAACGTTTTTCTGACTGCTCACCTTTGCTTTTGACTTTATGATGTGTTCTTTGTATGAGAGGTTTCTGATATAGGGGCCATAGCAAAAGCGTTCACATCACAACCCCTGTCAGGTAGTACCTGCAAATACTGGTAATGCTCCAAACCACGATTTTGAGTGACTGGTATAAAGACAGTTAACACTTATAGTTAGGGCATGGATGAGATGCCAGATAGAGCCCAGGTCATGAACCAGTTGGGAATAGTTCAAAGGTCAGAAGCTGAGAGCCACAGTTGAGAAGAAACCAGATATCAGGAACAAGACATAAAGATGAAGCACAGGGTCAGGGACAGAGCAGGAGCAAGGCTAGATCACCAGGACACTTGCAGACAGTTTATGACTGTCTTCCCTGCTGGTTTGAAAGCTACGTTTAGGTTTCATCTCCAGAAGTGGTGATTCCTTACACCAGTTTAGCTAAGCAGTTAAGTGCATGCTTAAAGTTAAGCATGTACATAATGCCCTTTGACTCCCAATTCTATACTTGGCCAACTGCACCGTGCCTGTTTCTCATTAGTATGCTTTTTTTTTTTAATATTAGCTCAGATGCTCTTACAGGTTGGTGAAGGGAACTGTAGTGTAATATGTGAAAATTGTATTCATCCAAAAATTGCACATTTCCATTCTTGGAGTAATTCAGGTCTTGGACTTCTAAATCTCTTAGACACTTTTGAAAATTCTACCATATGGCTTTAACTTACAGCTGTTGACAATGATTGGAGCAGAAATGGACAGCTCTTCAACAGCACTCAGTCATTAGTTATGTTGTTCTTTCTAGTTTTGATGTTACAAACCTTGGTGACAGTCTAACAAATAATGGAAGTAAACATGCCACTTACTAATACTAATATTTTAGTATAAAGTTCTGTGTTTGTTCATATTTGTCAGGTTTGAAGAGCCTTGTTTTCTGTGTGTACCTTGGGTTCCTTTTAATTCCTCTACAGTATTACCAAATCCTGTTTCAGTAAACCATCCATTTGATCTGTATGTAGATGCCCTCCATTATATCCCTGATAATGCAACAATAACAAAGGTAAGTTTTGCTACTGCTGTGGTGTCACAAATTGATCTATGGGTATTCATACCCATAGATCCTATTGTTTGTTCAGCTGTATTTGCATTCAGGCACATATGAAATAGCCCTAGAGCTAGTAGGAGCAATTTTTAATCTATGGAGAAAATTGAAATGGCCGATAGGGGTAGAATACCGTATAGTGAAGACAAATTTGGAGGACATTTTGTCCTAGAAAACCTTTTCACGGCCATGGAATTCTCTATCTGTTTCATAATGTTGGTTGCATAGTCCTTTAAATAATCATGTTTTAAACTTACTTGAGTACCTTAAAAGGTACTTCTTAAAGGGCTTTTTAAACAGGGTACTTGTTCACTAAGATAACTTGCATCCCTTTTACCTTTTATTTTCTTCTTTTGATCTTGAGCACATTGTAATCAAATCATGCTAGTCTTGGTCATGAACGGTACTGTGTAACCACATTAAAGAATCACAGTGCACAATACTTTTCCAAAATAAAGAACGCAGAACCAAAATCTGCCATCAGATGTTCATACTAAGTAACCAGTCAAGTGTAAGTTGTATACATATTTGAGGGCAACAATTTGACTTTAAGCCATATGAAAAATAGAGGCACAGGGATACATCTTAAAGTTTACTTTCTTCAGTTTCCAATAAGATTATGTGAGTTTTGGGGGGCATCCTTTTAGTATTCTACAGGTGAAATCAAATCCTCAAGTGCAAAAGTTGTTTCTTGTGCATTTATTTTTGAATTTGTCAAGAAGTACAGAAAGCAAACAAACAGAATTATAAATTGAAAATTAACTTTTTCCTTTTAGGTAACTGGGCAAATCAGGAATTCAGGGCTGACTAAGTTGCCTAATATTACAGCATTTCCACTTCTTAATAGTCCATCTCGAAATCCAAAATTCCAGTACCGAATGATATTAAATGGAGATGAGACAAAAGTCATGGATGTCAATGCATGTGTTTTTTTCCAAGTTCATACAGTAGACATAGATTCTGGAGATCTTCTTATAATAGGTAAATGAAACACAAATTTGTCATGTAGCTCCCTTTCTTTTTCTCTCTCCTCTTTTCTGCTTAGTATACTGTCCAATATTTGTATCTTCTAAGTTTTAGGGCACACATTTTAATTTATAATGGATGTAAGCTGTTGAAATGCATCCCTCGAGGACTATGAGGATCATAGCTGGCAGAACCTTAAGAGTAAAATAACACAAACATTTTTATAAAGTTTTGAAAATAAGTCGAGACTAATATTTGAAATGGAAATATACTTAAACTACTATTTATAATTGTCCTTCTAGCCCAGGTCTTACTTGATGCTGGATTCAAGGGGTCAGATTTTTTCATCTTTAATCACATGAAGTAATACCTTGGATATGGTACTATTAATAGTGAGTAAAGGTAGCACAATCAGACATTAGTAGTCATTTGCATATAATTTTATAACAACATATATTCTATGTACATTTATTTGGGCCTGATTGTTAGTACATTTTAGTGAGAACAGGCTGTCTTCAGACTTGAGCATTTAAAGAACATAATTCCCACCATAATGAATCTAGGTATTTATCATTCACAGAACTAAAAATTTTGGAGATTTATGAAGTTTGCAAGTAGGGAGAGAGTGGAGATCGGAGAAACAGGAGAGAGGTTGGGAGAATGGGAATTGCAGGGACCTACAGAGCTCTTGAGACTCAGCCTTGTATGGGCTACCCTTTTCACAACTCTGTGAAAAAACAACCACACTTCTATACATTTGGGGTACACTTATATTTTGCACGTGTAGTTTTTCTATGGACCCTGATCTCCTTCACCCATTCAGTTGTTAAGAAACATGTGTAAGAAACACATGCAAAATTAAGTTGTGTAAGAAACATGCAAAATCAACAAACACATATATTCAGAGCACATGCTGTATAAAATCTTTAGTGAGACATATTTTGTTGGTTTGATTTGGTTTGGTTTTCTTTTGCCTTATAGGAAGCTCTATGATCCGTGTGTTTAACAATGATGGGAATCTAAACGTAGGAGGATTTCAACTAAAACTAAGAGGAGGCATGCCAAGCAAGGGACCAGCAGCTCTTATACAAACAACATTAGATCAGTATCCAGCCATTCCCTGCTGCACAGTACTAATTCGAATGTTACCACACACACAGGCAAGTATATAGAGTTTCAACTGTAACAGTTATTCTATCTGCCTGAAATACAGGCTGCACTTTGGCATTCAGTCCTATTTGCCTCGTCTAAATTAGGATCTCCAGGTGTGGTATTAATGTGGCTTATATGTGCTAAATAATATCTAGGGTAGTCTAGGCATGTCACTTTTAATGTATGCAAAACTGAGTTAAGAGCCTAGGGCAGGACCTAAGTTCTACCAGAGTAATGCATTAAAGACACTATACCTTATCTACACATGGCACACCCTTTAAACTCTAATCAAGAGAAAGGGTGTCTGGGGATGGTTCCTAAGCTGCTTGAAATCATATTTTTTTAGGAATGAAGTAACAGGGTGCAAATTCATGAAATGGTACCCAGTATATAAGGGATTAATTCCATCTTCACCTGCCCTTCTCTTTGCCCAGGTGCTCAGAGGAGGGCTTGTTGAGAGACAGAAAGAGGAGAAAGTAGGAAGGCAGGGCTGCATGGCCAGGTGCTGAAGCCCAGGTGAAGCCAACATTAAGGAATCTATGCTATATATAACTTTGTTTACTGTATATTTATTCATTTGCTTTGCAAAGATTTGCTCCAGCTGAGAGATCCTTGCTGATTGCACCTGTTTAATTTCTCTGGAGTCCTTTTACCAGTTCATACGAGAGTCCTATAGTTTAACAGTGTTTTTCAGTTTTCAGTGACTGCACCAAGCTACTTGACAGGATATTACTTCTCAGATGATGCAAAGCCCAATAATTCAGAGCTAGAGATCATATCGAGCTTTCAAAAGGACAACAGCTTCCCAAAACTTGTACAAGACATGACTACATACTTAACTGACAAAGAACAAAGCAGAGGTATGAAAATAAATGGTCGATAGCTGTTCACAAATTCTTTGTCTTATTTTGTAACTGAAACCTCGTCACAGTAGACCTGTGTGCTCAGCTTCCTTTGGCAGCCCTGACTTTTGCCTCTGGTACACTTCCTTGGCAAGGGCTCTCTGTTTATTATCATTAAGCAGAAAGGGAAATTGCAATCCAGTTGTCCTAGACCTCCCTGTATCAGGGCTGACCACCCTAGACTTTCCAGAAGGTAAAGTATGCTCTCTCAGAGCTCCACTCCTGGGGCAATCCCTTATGATTACAATTAACTTCTTCAGAGATGTGATAGTGGAAGAAGATGGACATGTCAGCTTCATAAAGATTTAAAGACCAATTACTCTTTATTTCAGCTAGCACAAGACATACACAGATTTACACAAAACTGTTAAACACTTAAGCCCATTTTCTGGTCTCACTTTCTTCACTTGAGTGCTCTTTTGTTTGGGTCAGAGGCTTCTAAAAAGCCCCATATCCTCTGTATGTTCATGGCTGCTTCCCTGAATTCTGATGTCCCTCTTTCTGCAGCCACCTTTGTACTTCCGCTCTCTTCTGCCTCTTTCCCCGCTTACTCTAAAATGACCAGTGAAGAGCCTTTCTCATAATCTTAGTTGGGCTATTCCTTTTTCAGCCTCCTCAGGTGATTAAGCCCACACCAGGTGATCCATTTCTATCTATAGCTATACATAGCTATCTCTTTGCACGTGCTTTATTTGAATAGGATGATCATCATGGTTAACCTTTCTCCTTTGCTAGCTCTATGTCAAGCACAAGAATTGCTCCTGTTGCCTCCTGTGGATCTTAGCAAAGAAGGCAAATGACAATAGGGCAACTAAGCCCCAAACTCAAAATGGAGTATGTACACACGTAGAGAGTCCCTAATATTAAGCAGAAGCCATAAGCTGTGCAAAGAAATATTCCCCAAATTGTCAAGCTCTTCCTCATATTATTTGATTTATAAAGCGTCATCCATTAGGATGATATACATAGCTAAGCTCTCTTTATAATTTATTACAAACTGAGCCAAATGCTGTCCTCAGACACTCAAATATAGCTCCCATGAATCCAGTATTCAGGGGAGCTGAGTACAGGTTTCTGTGAGTAGAATTGGCATGCTGCTTTTTACTGAGTAAAGTGTGCATTTATAGGAATAATTAATAAGTCGATTAGCTAATTAATTAGGAAATTAAAATAACAACTCTCTTTGCTATGCTGTTCTTTAGTACTACTAAAAGGAAGTGTGGTAAGATAGACTTTTAAAAAATGCTTCTTTGATAAACCTTACCCTTAGATTTTAATGAACTATATTCATGAATGTACTAGAAGTTCCTAGTTTAAGTCTCTCAGTTCTGTAGTTGTATACTTGCTGTGGAACTTGGATGTTTAAACACTGATTTAAGCATCAGAATGAAGAATTAGGCATTCACTGTTAGATACCAAACTTTGACAGTTGTTGTCCTGAGGATGTTATCAAACCAGTGTTTCTTCAATTAGTGTTTTGTATGTAAGGTGCCAGAGTTTGTTTCTGCAGTTACACTTGACCGTTTGGAAACCTGGTATGTGGAAAGACTAGATGAAACAAAATATCTGCTACCACAACAGCTTCCAAAGTACATCAACATACATCATGCAGTCCGTTATCGGCAGGAAGCAGGCATCCGCATAAAGGTCAAACAAGCTTTTGGACTTAAAGGTAATGATAGATACTAAAAGAAATAATAAGAAATAGTATTTCTTAAAAAAACCCAAACAAACAACCTATCATCAGCGTATTTTACAAACCTGTTTGTATATTTTGCATCCTCTATAATTTTGTTTTGTTGCTTTATAGAGTTCCTTTACTGCCTGTTCCTCAGAAAAATGTATAGCAATAAACTAGAATACTAAAGTAAAATGAAACAATATAGTTAATTAGAATTATGACTGAGGAGAGAGTGAGCAAGAGAGAGGAATTTGACTTGGTGTTTAAAAACAGTTATGATTGCAGTAGGTCTTATCCCCAGTAACAAGAATTTAATAGACAAGGAATATAAAATCCATACACCTGAGCTTTAAAGGGGCAACATCTGCCAACCCTGTCATCCCACTGGAACTGAGTGATTTTGCTGTACAGGGAAGATTGTGGGAGCCAGCACAGAGGACTGGTACCTCAGCATATATGCAGAAATGCACTCAACAGAGTTCCTAGCATCCCAGCAAGCAAGAATTTGTTTCTAGGTGGGACCAGTTGAACTGGTCCTTTTGCCATTCCTCCAGCTGCCTCGGGAAGTGTAGCTCCTGCCCCTGAGCTCTAACTAGATTCCTTAGCAAATGCTACTTTATAGCTTCGACTTTGTTCTGTGAACAGCATTTGCCCCCAAAAGGCTAGGTTTGTTTCACTAACAATCTATAGGCAGACAAGGTTCTTTGGGTCTGCCTATGTCCTTAGACCAACACGTCTACAACCTATACCGCTGACAATCTATTTAACTTTAACGTAAGTGTTGCAAGCAGCAAAACAGATGATCTTGTTATATTCTGTCCACAAACATGTGTCAGTTAACCTTCAGCAGTACCTCTTTTTATGCAGCTGATGGCTATTATGTAAATGTGTTAGCCAGAGTCCTTAAGGGAGCTGCAAGCATGCATTTGCCTGAGTTACCTCAACAGTGGGGAGGAGAAGAAAAATTCCTAACATGCCAACTTGATTTCACAAGTCAGCAGAGATCACCAATCTGGACTGATCCATCTGTGGTATGTAGTAAGTAACACTTTGCCTTTGGTGCCTGCAGATCTGTCTTTCTACAAAAGAGAGACTCACCAATATTTTTTAGTTCATCGGTAATACATAAACAGACTGCTGTGAGGTCACAGGGTACCATTTGAGCTAATAAGCCATCATAGTACAAATCTGGTTCAGTTTCCTCTACCAGCTATTACCTGGCACTTGAATCTGATTGAGCAATTAGTGTGTTATAGACCAGGGGGAAAGACAAACAGTCTTATTTCCACTAGTGACCAGTTTCCCACTGGCTTGAATTAGATCTGTCTCCATTTGCATTTGGACATTAATATTCTTTATTACTAAAATTAATTGGATATTGTTAGTAAGGGCTGCAGTTGATAGAAAAAAAGGATGCCACTTTCTAGTAATCTACATAGATAGTACTGTAGGTTTGGGTTCAACAGCAGTTAACGTTCTAACTATTCATATTTTTTTCATGTTATAATTTTTATGGCATTGTAGATGGGATGGAATGGTCTGCCTATGATTAAGGGTACCTTCTTTTATATGACAAAAATGGTGTCTGTAACTTTATCTTTTTGCACTTTGGCGTTTTTGTCAATTCAGGAGCTCTTGGCTGTCAGAGACATTACCAGGGATCGCTACATGGAAGTGGCTCTTGTCGATCCCTATTAAGGGTACCTGATAGTTATGTACTAAGTGTATATCTGCAGTACACTCAAAGCTCTGCCTTCATTTTAAATAGACATACCCAAACTAGCTTTCAGTAGGCCAGCTCAAATAATGAGACCACTGTAGCCATAACACGTAAAGCTCTGTGCTGCCTGAGGTCCCAGCTGGGTTTTGTTGAGCGTGCTGAACTTACGCTGCTGCGCCTACATAATTAATGGTATATGGGCTAGTTATTTTAAAGATAGGTTGTGTATTTCTACATGAGCTGCAGTCGTACTTTTGACTGCAATCTATGCATACCTCTAGTGTGTTTCGTTGTTTCCCAAGTTGTTATGGCATCTGTAGGCATAATACCTATATTCAGCACCACTGGGACACATACCAGTTCCAATGGATCCCAAAGCCATAATTTAGGCCATATTACGTTCCCTATGCCTCCCTTGTACTGTTACACAGTAGTCATCTTGACAGTCATCTCTAAGTGGAGATTAATATTTTCCCTGAGCCGTACATTTCCTCAAAGTTATGAGAATTTTCCCTGCTACAGCACAGGATCCTCTCAGCTTACATGTATGACAGCTTCCTGGATGTACTGAAGTAATAAGAAAACATCCTCAGATTTCTAAAGCACCCTAATGTTGTTAGCACATGTTAACAATAACTATTATAATTAATGCAACATTCTGGAGATCATTTTTCATAGGATCTGTTCCTCTCTCTAAACTCAAGTTAACTGTTGAATTCATGGATTGACTATTTACTTCACAAATATAAGTCTTATCCCAATCAATCTGTCTGTCTAAGCACTCATTATGCAGCCTTTCTGGTGGTGTTTACCTATGCAGTGAGCAATTTGGTATGATCTGCACTGCAACACAACAATGCTGAAGAAAGCAGTCTTCATGTCTGTGTTTCAAGAACTAAGCATCCAGTATAGCCAGACCACGGCCACCTGCAACTGATTGAGCAGTTGTAGTGGATGGTGTTCATGGTTTCCCTACTTTCATGAGATTTAAACTACATAGATAAACTCTGTCACTTTGCTCACTGACCTGACCCATGTAGATGAGAGATCCATTTTCCCTTCAGAGATCCCTGTTGAAATTTCTCCTCTAGCATGCAGGAACTGTGATGAGCTCCACCCGATGCAGAAAAAACTGATTGTTTGCTGTGTTGTTGGGCATTATGTGCCAGTGCAGGGCACTTCCAGACTTAGCCCTACAGGAATAATTATGCTGTTTAAATATTAAACAGCAAAGTTCTTCCTTTATTGTTAAGCCAATATTAAAGGAAGACAAAACTGATTTACAGTTTATGGCATTGCTTTCTAAGGTTGCTGTTGTTGCAGCTGACATCCTGTTTCAGCAATATTGGCACTGCCAGAAGGAGGCTCTAAAATACAGAATTTAATAAAAAGCAAAACCAAAAACTTTATCTCAAAAGCAGTTTAGTTAAATGATTCATTTACTTCCCCTTCATAACTTTCAGTATGTTGTAAGGCAGCTTGCTTTGAAAAATATTGAAAAGCTTGTTTTTTTCAGTTACATTACTTGAGAATAATTCAATTGAAAGTTGTGTGCCTTTTTCTCACAGATTATTGTTATTTAATCACTGTATATTAACTTTCATTGGCCTTTTGATATATTTAAAGTCATTAAACTTCTCATTGAATTGATTATACCTACCATTAGATTGTTATTTTGTTATGAATAAAATAAATCAGTAGTGGATGCATTGGTTTATACTGACTTGTTTATTTTAAAGGGCATTTGAACTTTACTGCAAAAACGACCTTAGTGTTCAGGAATGGAAAGTCTGATATCCTGTCTTCTAGTCTAAAAATCGATCACTTGGTAATATTTTAAGATGCTAAAAGGGAAAGCAAGTGATAAAACTATTACCAAGAGATTCCAGGGCAATAATTTTTCCAAAAACTGTTTAAAACATAATATCTCTTTTAGTATCCCTAATATATAATGTTTAGATCCTTGCAATTTATTTTATAATCATAACAATAACCCTTCACATAATTATTAGCAGCACGTTCCAGAATTAGAACAATACTGATTTTCATTATGAAAAATTAAATACATCCAAGCAGGTAAAATCTCTCAGCAATTCCATATATATTCTAAATCTTGTTATAGGACTAAATCCTCCTCATTCACAAACTGAGTGTTAAAAATTAATGAGAACAGCTTCCTAACATGTACTGTTTGGGTCTTAATATTTATAGTACCCACGAAACTTACAACATCTGTTCTGCAAAGAAGTAGCTATTAAAATACACTTAGGTGCTGAGAACTGTCTCTGAAGTAAGAGAGTCAAAACCTTGATCAGTTGCCTCACAGGAGTTTGCTAAGCTGCGGTGATTCCAAGAAAGTGGTGAGGAGGCATTTTTAGCTCTTTCGGTTGTTGAGGAATAGTAATTTTTCATTATCAAATCATCAGCTTAAAAATGAGAAAAAAAACAGCTGTTTTACTGGATGAATGTAAAGTGGAGTATTGAGAAACAGTTGCACTTGTGATTTTCTTGCATGGAGTTGTTCAATATTTTGGGGGGATTTAAAATTTTAAAAGGCAGAAAGTTGTTAATAGACAACCTTCATTATATGTCTCCCACTCATTCTATACCAGTCTTAAGAATTTCCATAGAGGAGTGTTTATGGCCTATCAGTTTTTCAGTTTGTGTATTTCTTTGGTAGAAATTTTATTTGTGAAGTTTTGGATTGCATTCCTCACGTAACTTCTTCCATCCTTAATAATGAATGTACCTACATTATAATATCAAGTAGCTAATTGAATCTGGCAGACAAGGTTCTTTGTGTAGATGCGATATCTTTTATTAGACTGACTAAATAGTTGGAAAAATTGTTCTTTGCAAGCTTCGGGCAAAAACACCCTTCTTCAGGCACAGGGAGAGTCTGCTGGTGAATTATGTCTTCTCCTGAGTAGGACAGAAACTGATGTGTAAAATGCAGGTCTGTGAAAATGCAGGTGCGTGGCAGCGAGGATCAGAGGGATGGGAGACAATAGGTATGAGACAGGTGCGGGGAGAGGGAAAGTTGAACGGGTGATAGAAGAATGTAGCTGGTAAAATGCAGACAGGTTACCTGGGGTTATCAGATGGCAGGCAGGTTATAATGTGCCATAAATCGAATGTCTATATTTAGTCCATGATTTTTTGTACCCATTAGATTGATGAAGTGAAGTTTGTAGGTATTTTGTAAATTCCCTTTGAGGATTAGAACTGAGAGATTGGAGGAAGAGTAGTTGCCTTGTGAGAAGAGTGCACCCACAGGTGCAATTGGGTATCTTTGTCTTCAATATTTTTTTCGGTGTGCATTCATTCTGGTACACAGTTGTTGTTTGGTTTATCCTACATATTTTCTAGCAGAGCATTTAGTGCGCTGAATGAGCTACACTAAATTTCTGGAGGTGCAGGTGTAAAATCCAGGAATGGTGATGGTTCTGTTGTGGGGTCTAGTTATTGTGGGAGTAGTGGAGAGAAGTTGTCAGGTTTTACACTTTTTGTTCCGGCATGGTCATTCAGTGTACTTTGAGCCATACGAAGTTTGCTTCTGGTGATGAGGTTGGCGAGGTTTGGTGCTTGTTTAAAGGCTAGGATGGGTGGTTCTGGAAAAATCTCTTTGAGTTGGCTCTTCTTCTAGTATGGGTTGCAGTTTTTTGAGGATTTTCTGTACAGGTTCCAGGGAAGGTTGGTATCTCATAACTAATGGTGTATGATTTGTGGTGATTTTTTTTGTTTGTATTGCAGCAATTCCTCACATGGTATCCAGGTAGCTCTTTCAAAAGTGCAGTCTCTCTCTCTGGAGGAGTGTCCTTGTTGGGACCAATAATCCTAATTAAACCTGGTCATTTTAACTTTATTCAGGGGTGACTGGACTTGTCTTCTGAAGAAGAGCTAAGGGATTTTAGAGTAATTTTAGAATAATTATTTGATTCAATATTTTTTAATTGTTAAGCCAGCCCCATCTCTTACAAGTACTCTGTTTTGTTGTAGGTGCTACACCCTTATCTTGATGCTCACTGTGTACTATTAGTTCAAGTGTATGGCTTGAATGCTGTTTATGTTCCAGACCCAAGTGGACAAAGGCCAGGAGAAGTAATAGCTCGTCCTGGCCAGGTCCTGGACCTTAACGCACAATCACAGTTAGGATGGACTGTCATTCCGCTCTTTGACAGGTAAATATCACTGCAGTGATGGTGATGATGATGATGATTATGTAGCAGTAGTTTGAAGTTCTCTCTAAATCTGCAGATATCTTCAGAAAACAAAGGTGACAAGAATTACAGGATCACGTCATGTTCTCAAGCATGAAAAGAAAAGCCAAATGCTGTATAGATGAAGTGACAAGGAGTGACTCAGACTCAGGGCTGAGTTATAGACTAAGGGCTCTGGAGATATGGGTTCAGTTCCCAGCTTGTCTCTGTCTTCCTGAGTGCTGTGGTCACGTCACTTTATGCTTCAATTCTTCATCTGCAAAATAGTCATATTATTTTACCATGCTGTTCTGAGTCAGCATTATCCTCTGTGAATGCAAACCAGCTTTCACTCTCTCTAGGTGTTTTTTGTTGTTGTTTCTTTATATAACCAAAGAAAAAAATCAGTATTCTCTAGTTTGCTAAAAATTTCCATGAAAAAATAATAAAGCTGGTCCTTTACATTGCTGTAATGGCACTATTAAATTCTGGATCTTTGATAGCCTCTCATGTATCCTAGGTTTTAAGTTACGCTCTTCAGATTTTCCATGCAAACAGTTGTATTATTTGTCACTACTTCCTTTTACTCATATGGAAAGACTTCTGAATATCAAATTCATGGATTCTGTTAAAAATTTAAATCAAAGAATCTTGAAGTTGTTTGACGAGAAAGCAATATGACTAATTATATGTGGTTTATGGAACTGAGATTACACTGATTAACTCTAAAGTTTGTCTAGTAAACCAGCCCTTTTCTAAATTAAGGTGGGAATATAATAGCTAGTTGCAGGGGAACGTAATCTTGAAATTTAATTTGAAGAATATTGCAGAATGGGAGATCTATGGAGTGCAGGATGTCCACATCCACTTTGTAACACTCAAAACCAATGCTGAATAATGAGATTAAAAAAAAAATTAATACATGTTCTGTAATTCTGCAATGGATGAAACTTTTATAGATCCAGAGGGCTACTTTCTAGAAGTCTCCCTTCAAGTAATTCCTCTTCATCACTCTATGGAAAAATATTACTTGATGCATTCAGCATGCATAACCAACAAATCTGTGGATACCCAAATATTCAGACAACTTTGTTATGGGATTGAAAATATGTATTAGTTTTAAATAACTAGTAATTTTTTTTTTAAATAACCAAACCTAGTTTCTCGTGGACAGACAATAGATGCCTGTGGAGATATCAAATACCAATACTTAGCAATAAACAAGTTTTTATGAAACAAAAGAAGGCATGTATTGTTCTGTGTGCCACCCTTCGTAGCTATATATCTATTTATCTAGATAATCTCCAGTATCTATTCCTAAAGGCCTTCACAGTTAAAGTACTGCTACTTAGATACAACAAGAAAATTCAAAAGAGAATAGAAAAGACAATTTCAAGTGCCAGTGCTTGCCTGAAGCACCCAAGGTTATCGGATACTATATAATACTTCTTCTGAATACTTATCCATTTCTGTCAGCGGCTCAAATTTAGTTCTTTTCTACTGAGGGCATAATATTTAACATTTTTGTATAAAAATGTATAACCTGCATAACATTTTTGTGGGTTGATGCATCATGGTGTTTTTGCAAATGAAAGACTGGGGTCAACAACATTTTAGTCCCTCTCCTGGTCCTCTTCAGATTACAACTGTGTCCTGTAAGTAGCCTTGCACTGTGTGTAAATGTTAAAGTTATTAATTTTACAATTGAAATAGGGATATTGTCACTTGCAGGAGGAGGTGTGTACATACAGATATGTGCTCCTTTTTCTTATTCCCTGCCAAATACTGCTTCTACTTTAGCGGGAAAACAACCCATGATATTTACAGTAAAGGGCAGGAACCAACACCCCTTCTTCCCCCGCCCCACCCCAGTATTTTACCTTCCATATCCTTGAGTATCTTATCTCTGTCTATTTATAGTATCTTTTCTCATCTTCCATTCTCCAGTGTACCTCAATATCTTTTGTTTTTTTATTGCGCTTGTTGTTGAAATATTTTTCCTCTTTCATTTTTTCTCCTGTTGAACTCAGTTTGTAATGCTTCACTTTACTCTTTTGATCTAGATGTGAATTTACGCAATGAATTGCGCCCTCACCTTCTAGCTCCATTTCCTTTGTCATCTGCTCCAGTTCTTGCCAGTCCTTCTCTGTCATCTCTCCCTTTGCCTCATGATGTTCCTCCATTTCTTTCATCATCTTCTTTCTCTTTGCTTATCTGTCTCTCTCTCTCTTTCTCCATGTACCTTCCTTCATCCTCTAATGCATTACATTTCAACTTGGAGTGAGACGCTGAATGGAGGCATCCACTTGACAGTGCATAACACTGAACCATTTGTTTGTTCAATGTTTATAGTGTTTATTTCCATTTTTCTTGGAGAAAAATGCATGTGAAATGCACTTCTAAGGCGAGAACCAGTTCAAAGTTATAGACTGGATACTTTTAATAAGCCTATGGCAAGAGGAAGGTAGACAGGAATGAAATAATTGTTTAGCAAATACAAAACATAGCCCCAAAACTCAGCATTTAGAGTCAGCTCACTATCCTTCCAGCTGGAAACAAGATGTTATAATGGGTAGTCACAAGCTGTTAAATGCTGAAGGGCTGTAAGAGACAGAGAGGAAAGGAAAAACCTCAAGTTTTCCTATGAATTGGGTATTTTTTGTAGGAAGATGTTAAAATAAAGCAAAAATATTAAAGGGTAAGTAATATGAAAATGCAATATAAGGCGATGTGATATCATTGCAATATTATTTATTTCCAGTCTCTCATATATGCATACTTTTTTAAAGTTTTGCATTTTTTGGATCTTTCCAAACATTATGAAAATTGTACAGAGAGTAGTAAATTCATTTGCATAACATTGACTGCAAAGAGCAATTAGTCCTTCATTAATATGCAAATTTGGTCCAGTGCAAATTCATCTATATATGAGACTTAAATATGCAAGTCAGTCTTGCTGTGCTAGAAACCCAGATGCTTTTATTTACTCTGAAATTGAGGGATTTGGTTAATGATGTTGTTGACAGGAAAACTTGAATAAATTTGATGATCACCGTCTTTCATATTAGCCAAGACCCACAGAAAAAAATTACCAAGTAAAATACCAATTTTATTTGGTAATTTCCTATTACCAATCTAGTAATAAAATGTCAGATACAAAGTAATAGACTTAGATTACCTAATGCAGTTATCCTGAGACTTAAAATGTTCCCCAAAGATAGAGCCATTTTTCTTAAACTTTGTTTTTCCAGAGGGTAAAGACATCTACATAAACTGTATGAATAACATGCTGCCTAGAGATTTAATATTAGAAAGTTAGATCAGTTGCTTGTTTAATTTGCAGAGAGTATATAAGCTTGAGAATTAAAATGCTGGAGTGTTGGAAATGGCTGTCATCATTGTCTTCCATTCATTATGGAGAAAGATTTTTACATGACTAAATCCTGAGGTCTTTGCTCTTAGCGTCCATGGCCAGATCAGAAATCCACTAAGCCCTCAGCCATCAAGCAGGAATCACTTCAATGAATTTACAAGCATCATTTTATACATATTTAAAGTTTATATATAGAAACTTTCACCAGTGTGTCTTTCTTACTGCCACCCCATAACACAGGCTGGTGTTGAGAAGTAGATTTCTGCCTTACCCAAAGATCTATTATGTAACACTTATTTTCCCTAACAGCAGCACTTCCACTGTCCTTTTGAAGTATCAGGGATCTTCCTGTCCTGTCCTGTCTTGTCCTGTCCTTTTCGTCTGTTAGTGTCATGGTAACCATCATTATACAGCTGAAGTGTAGATAAGCTTCCTTTTTGGAGTCTGTCAGTATAGCTCCCTCATCACATGAAAAGGTGCTGCTGAGTGATGCAAAGTATTTTCTCTCCAATCTCACTCTTTGCACAACTTTCAAGATGAAATTTAGCCGTGGCATAAGCAGTCTTGGTCTTTGACTTCAGCTGTCATTACTTGTGTCAGGGTTGAACTTGCTTCTCATTCTTGCCTGCCTGGGAAGTTGATATTTTTAAAGTAACTGAGAGATGCAGCTTAAGTAGAGTGGACTATGCTGCAATTTGTAAAGCGGTAATTGTAACCACCCGAGGACGAGTTAATAGTTTATGCTGCTCACAGAACTGCAGTTTGATTCCTGTGACTTCTTGGCACAGCTGTTTGAGAGATAAATCCTTACAGCAATGAATGGTTAGTTTCTAAATCCTTGACGTGCTGTACTAGGCAAGAAGTCTTTAGAGTAGTGTTAAGAAAAATGTAATGGGATATACAGTAAAATTGGCTCCCTATTATATGGTATTTATGTTGCAGGTGGGTCCAGGAGAAGTAAAGCACAGAGCAGTGGTTCTCAATTTTTAGATTCAATGCACCCCTTGGCAAATGCCAGCTCTTAGTTTTCATGCATGTTTTTGTTGGGGGGGAGTGGTGGGGTTGACTACTGAAAAATAGAACAATTTTTCTGTTGCAGACAACTCGGTATGTTCGCAACAGGTCAAAATATTTTTGACACTCTGGATTCCTAGGTGAAATCTCTGGGTGTATGTTGTGAATCACTCTGTAGTACTCTTCAAGGGATTTTTGGTGCCCTGGTTGAGAATCGCTGGCCTAGAGAGGCAGACCAATGGGGATGTTTGGGGATGTTCCACGAGGATAGGATAAGGACTGTTTCCCTCTTATGGAAGAATCCACCCCTTCATCTCAATTTAAATATCACTTTGGAAGCCAAAGGCCATAATGTGCTGGATATGTTTGCAATCATTTGTAATTTAGGAAGTAACGAACTGATAAAATGAAATTTAAAAGTACACTACACTGTGTACTGTTTTGTTCATTAAGAATATATTTCTTTGCCAGTCCATCTGCCCATTAAAATGTTAAGTCCTCAAAATTGAACGACCATCAGTAAACAAGAAAAGGTTAAGCTGGTAGAAGAAAGAAGGGATTCATTTACTAGTAATTATCTAGGGTTACTCAAAAGCATATCTTTCCTGACTCTGCTGTCCAAATGTAAGAAAGATTAGTTATAATGAACTATATTACTTAACAGTTACGTAGGACATTTCATGGTCATAAAATTTCCCAAACTTTTCTAAGTTTTTCTCATAATGCCCAGGGGGTGTAAGTGTTATTTAGAAAGAAAGAGGTGAAATGACTTGTCCCAGGCCAGAGAGAGTGATAGTGTGGGAGCTAGGATTAAAACACTAGACTTCCTGATTCCAGATCTCAAAAGTCAAGTGTCTTTTTCACCTCATCTCTCACTCAGTCAGTGAGAGCTCAGAAGTGATGTACAGTCTCTGGCATCTCACTGTTCAAAAGTATTCACCAGTTATAAGAATAGAAAATGTTGTACTTGGACTAATTCTGAACTCACCATTCCTTTGCCCACAACAGTTGTGACTGTCTCCATTTCTGATTTAATCCATTTAACTGAAGAACCCCAATTATCTGTATGTCTCAAAATATTGAACCAATAGACATCTCAGCATAATAGTTGAGGTTGCCTCCTGCTAACTTTATAATCTTTATATCCTAGATTAATTAAACATTTCAGCCTTGGAGAGTTTATTAGTCCAAGATATATTTATTACCTCATAAACACAAAACCCCTCCAGTTATCATCTAATTAAATTGCAGCTCTATTTATGCCATTGTATTAATAGTAAAATTATGCAAGGGAAACAGATTGCATATTTTGGTCATTCTTTCCCTTGTTTCTTTTTCAGAGGCTACGTGTGGTGTGGGGTGCACAGTGCTCCATTGTTTCAGGGTTCTCCAAGCATAGTAAGTATTCAAGAGGAAGAGGAGACTTTTTTTTTTCTCTTAGAAATGTTTCTGGCTAAAGGAAGACATGGGATCTCATCATGTACAAATTTATTCATGCTTAAGTAGTAGCCTGTGATGTGTTAGTAAAATTGTGTGGCTCTCCTTTAGGTTTGTATTCACAAATATTCTATCCAGTAGGTGTTTTCTGTTTGAAATACAGAATTCAGTATTGATTCTCTACCCTCTTGCAACTTTTGCAGTCATTTACTGCACTGTGCAGGGTATATGTAAGCCAAGATAAGAGGCAGCAGAGAATGAGGACCAAAATGCACATATATTCTTACGCACCACTTTGAAATACACCAGGAGAGTGACAGCATGTAATCCAGCTGCTGGCATTTGCAGGACCCATATGTCAATGGAATGCCCTGCTCTGTGGTTGGCTTCCTCTCTCTCCTTTTATGTGACCTCTTGGCTGTCTCTGCTGCATATAATTATAGCAGCTATGGAACTGCCTCTGTATCTGGCACTCGGCCAATCTCTATTTCTGTCAAGTTTTTCATTGGATCCATCTATTAGGATCTCTTAGTCAGGAGAGGTGTTTTGTACCTTTTTCCCCCTAACTTATTCTTGGTAGAAAAGTTCTTAAACTGCAGTAGTATTGAAGTGGCACCTTTGTAAGCAATAATGATGCAGGGCATTTTTATAATATTGCCAACACTAATAAATCTGCACAGCATAGAAAATAATTTCTTTAGTGCAGGAACTTATATCTTATAGTGCAGATGCCTGGCATCCAAGCAAGTATGACCCTCTTTGTAATGGTCTGCCTGTATATAATTTTAACTTGCCTCAGGTCATTAATTAAAAAAGTTAAGGTAATTCATTGAGAACTAAAGGATTCTCCCTCACCCTAACATTTTGGGGTGCCTGTACAACTCTATTCCTAAATATTAGTTGCAAATTAATGTTTTGCCTGGAATCTACACTCATTCTGAGCTCAGGCTTTGAGGTCTCCTACGTTCAGATTCACTGGGTGCCTATTCTAATTAGAATGCTCCAATTTAGCTCACCATTGCATGTATTAAGCATCCCATGTTTCAAAATGGCCATGGGGGCATTTTAACTAAAACTTGTTGAATGAGCTTTAGTCAAAGTGCCTCCATGTCCATTTTGAAATACAGGAGGCTTAATATGCATGATAATGAGGTGTTTTAATTAGAGGGGCTTTTCCAGGAACCGGTCTGATTAAAATAACCTCCCCCCTGAGCACATCTATGGGCACTATCGAGATGTTACACTGTAGGGTTGGGGGCCTCGCCTCCCAGATGTTCTGCCCTTGCCTCTTATGTCTTGATGATACTTTGAGTCTAGCTGGGAGTTGGAGATAGAGAGGCTGACAATTGCTCTGAACCCTTCCCAGGGAGTCCTTCATGGGGCTCCTCCTCCCTTTACATCCCACCCTTGCCACACCACAGAAGATGGTTAGTGTCTGGATGGCTAGCTGGAAGAAAGACAGGGGTCATGTCCCAAAAGAAATCAAGTTTTTCAGGTACTGCTAGACTGCCAGCTTAGACTAATTAGTACACAACAAGGTCGACCTACTCTCTCACTATATCAGCTTATTAACAAGTTCATCAATTTGCAATGTGAATTAACTTATCCATGATTTCTAGTGCCCACGTTCTTGATCAGTTTATATGAAGCCAAATAAAAGTCTCTTACTCAGTAACACAAGTCAAGTTACCTCCACCCATATGGACTGGTTCAAAGAGAGTGCCCTGTAAAGCTCATCAGGTAGTCACCCACATAACACTCACCGGGGTCAAATCAGTCATTTGTTACGAATTAATTCAACAGGCTCCCTTGCCATAATCAACTCAAATCAGTCTTTGTTCAATGGACAATTGGTTCCACACCTGGTTTCCAGCTTGGACTCACAGCCCTTCTTTCATTTAGGGTTCTCTGCTCCCTTCCCCAGTACAGAAGAGAGAAACGATCAAAATAAAAACACAACCCCATAACACAGGAGAAAGAAGAGGCTGCATCATCCACAGACCACTGACTTGCTTTGGGTTAAGGCTCTTACTTCACTCCCCAGTTGTGCTGGATACTTGCTGTGGTCTGGCCCACCATGGTCCTCGTTGCCACTGTCTTCTACTCTTCAGGTCCTCAATATTCCCCTGCGTTCCTTGGTCAGATTCCTGTCGGTGGTCCTCCAGCCACCTCCAATTGGCGGGCTCCTCTTCACTGCCTGCTGGAGGACTTGGGTCCGTCAGCTGCCAGAGCCTGGAGCATCCTGTTGCCCAACTTGCTGGTGTCCCTCCTCTGCTGTCCTGCTCTGGGACTGAAAATACCTTTCTGCCATTTCCCTCCACCATTCTGGAGGGAGCAGTGGCTCTGAAAGTGCTGTGGTGTCTATGTTGCTGTGATTGGGACTCTCTTCACAGTTGCACAGTTTTCTGTAAGTGGTGTAGTTTAGATCGGTACTAAACAGAACACACGTTCACCCTTTGTGGTGGGGGGAGGTGGTAAATCTTAGACCAGGTTCCACACCAACTAGTCTGTGTGCTGAACTTCTGTTTTGTTACGGGTATAGACTGGTTTCTGATCACTTATACCGGTAAAAGTGCAGTGTATGTACCTGGCCTATGTGGGTAAGTAACATCCTCTAAGTCACTGCAGTACTTTGATTCTGCTGTAGTGGTGAGCGATCATATCAGCCTCCTTTGAGATGAACATTAGTGAAATAGCCAGCAGGAGGCACTAAAGGAGCAGCAGGAAAGTGATGATAACTAGTATGTTACTGCTGCTCATTGTAGCAGACTCAGTGACAGTGACTTGCTATAGTACATAGGAGCTCCAGTGGTTTGCAGACTAAATCACAGAGCTATTCCCAGTCCTGAGTGTCCAGTAGTTTCTAATCAATACTTATTTGATCTTGTAACCCTTGTATATGAGTAATCTTTAGTTTTGTGAATATTCCTAATTGAAATCAGTGGGATTATTTTTATGAATCAAGATTTTATGTCATTGTACCATGCAACATATATTTATTGTATGAAAAATTGATTGATATGCAACAACATCTAAAAATGAATTTTATCAACCCAGTATCAAGAAAGTTGCCTCTTGAGACTAAACAGTCTCTCAGTGGGCTCTTACTATCTCTATTATGATGGTGTCTGATGCCATTTGGCAAGATGAAACTGTACATTCTTTCCATTGTATCGAAGAACAAACATCTGAAAAGCATCATTATATTTATGAGATATTGCTCTAGCACATTTTTTATCACACTAGATATATTACTATGTTTACAATAAAATCTTCTGATTTAAAAATTTTAGTCGGAGTTATGTTTCTTGCTGCTATCTGTGCAAAAGTGTGTTCGCTATGCCCACAAATTTGCAGAGGATTTCCGTTGAGGTTTCTTGTATGTGCCTCATTACTGTGAAGTTGTGGCATTGAAGTTATATTTATCGACTGTAAAAACAATTCTGAAATATATCAAGATTTTGTTTGTGTTTCTATAGACAAAATAGATCTAGATTCATCCAAAATGGTTACTAAAGAGAGAAAAACTTGCTCATTATCAATCAATACTCTTACATAAAATAGCCAGAAAGGTGATAATATGCTTTGTGAAATCTTTCATTTAACTTTCAGAACAGAAACTTTAATTCTAAAGGTGAATTATGCAAGTTTATAGGTGGGGGGAGGCATTTTATGTTTAATATTTTTCTTGGAGACATTTTTTGTCTCACATATTTTTCAGGAATTTCTGCAGTCTGTAATCTCTCAGCCAGTGAAGGATGTTATGGCTGAAAATATAAAGAAAAAGGCATTAAAACTTTTGCCTACGTATGGCAGTGTTATTCTTGAGGTTTGGGATGGTCACTATTTTGAAGATGAGCATTACGAGCTCCCTGTAAGTTAAAATTTTTATACATCATAAAGTTATTCATACATTATACTGATTCTTTTACCTATGGAACTACTACTTTACTGTCCTTCCTGCTTTCCTTCTTTAGATCTCTTTTGATGTCCTAAAGGATTATCTACAGTCATTTTCCTTTTTGCTTTCATATTGTATCATCTGGTCGCAACATCACCTCTCTCTCTCATCATCATTTACCATTTCTACATTTGATGAAACCAAATCAACATCTTTCTGCATCCATTCCTTTCTGTTTTGTCTGTCACCTCCATACTTTTGAGACAGCTTTTTAAGATATTCTCTTGCATACTGAAGTTCATAATAGCAAGTTTTGAGAAATGTACATCTGTACCCATGCAAATTAAATTATGTTGCTTTTAAATTAGTTTTGTTTAAATAATTTTGGATTCAAAGGTATTGTTTTTGTTTAATTTACTTATCTATTATTGTTAATCATTTTCAATCCATATACATGAGGATTGGAAGAATCAGTATTACCTATCCATCCTATTAAATTGCCTTGTCTAAATGAGTAAGTTTACTGGTTTAATTGCAATTTCTTTTCAAACTCATCAAACCCCTATGAGGAGACTTATTTTTATTTAAGCATTTTTAATCTCATTTTAGCGCTAAATCCTAGTCAGACTAAATTAAACTGCAATAAATATGATTTAAAACAAAATGTGGATTTTCACACAGCCTTTTGTATTAACCAAATCAGTTTCTAAACAGACACCTATTAAATCAGTGTAAGATTCTCCTACAGAGAAGCATCTTCAGTCTTCATCATAAATTCCTGGCAATAATGTGTTCACCCAGATCTGCTTCTGGTGTCTTGCAATGAAATGTCTAAATTATAGTTACTTAGAGTACAGGAAAGTCAAGCTGCAACAGGGCCATGCAAATTTTGCATTTTAGACACACACACAATGATGTTTGCTTAAACTTTCTTATAAAAAGTAATATGTTTATCCTATTTTTATATGTCATCATGTTGTCTACAATTAGTGACCCAGCCACTTTGCACATGACCATTGGCTGAAAATGTTGCTATGTTCTATATTTGCAAGTTTTATCTTTTAGATTGCTATACCAGAACATGTACATTTTCAATTTGATTATTTTGTGCATTTGATAGCATTGCATTCTGTCAGTTTTACTGACTAGAAGAAGCAATGACATTTTCCATTAAAATGATGTTTATTAACATTAAAATTAGTTTAAAAAAAGTACTTAACTTTTCAAAGAGATGCCACTTAAAAGATTCTCTGTCAGATACTGGATTTAAATTGACCAAAAAAAAAGTGTAGTGACAGTGTCCCTTTAATCAAGTAACTTTTGCAAGGTGGAAGTAAGGAAAAGGGAGAAGAGTCATCGGTTCATGTATAGTAACATCGATGTAATGCATACCTACTTTACCTCTTAAAACTAAGGTTCTGAACAACCTTCTAACTGTTGACAAAACAAAGAAATTTTTGGGTACTCAAGCAAGCAAGAGTGGCAAAGAAGTTTCAGAGCTTGTTTTGCAAACCATGGATAAAAAATTAAAAAAACTGGGACGAAATAGCCCTGAATATCGTCAGCAAGAGTATCTTTACAAGGAAGCAATGGGAAACACTTTTTACAGCCTTATGGTAAGCATCAAAAAGTTTCTAAAAAAATAATAGTGGATTTAACATTTTTTCAAGGTTTTGCTATAACGTAATGTGTATCCTCAAAAACATTTGTTGTTCATCTACATTTATAACATAAGGGGCACTTCTCCAAATGCACTTCTGATATATACTTAAATAGATCATTTTGCTTCCTTACATTTTTTTCCAGAACATATTCATTTCGGGAATAGTTTAAAAACAAGGAAAAGATGTTAGGTAAAATGGTCAGGATACATTATGTTTGGTAAGTCACTGTAAGATATCAGTACAGGCTTTGAACAAACAAACCTTGGATGCAAAAAGTTGCTTTTTACCACTTAATTGCATTCTTCCAAGAGGGCCTGGCTCTTAACTTTAACTTAAGATGCACACTTTTTTATTGTGCTAGGGAATTAATTTTTATTTACTAAATTGGTCCAAGCTTGCTGTTGTAATAATCTGTGCACTGTGGTCAGATATCTGTGCTTTCTTTTCAGTTATTCTCCAATTTTCTTGGGAGGGTAGGGAAAACAACAACAAAACTCATAAATTCTAGCACCTCTGGAAACCTGGCACAAATAGTGAGGTCTTCCAAGAGAACTTCAACATTTCCACAAGTCATGAGGCCATGTGAAACCTCTTTATATAAAGACATTGTATGGCCTAGGGCTGGCCTCAGGTTTGGGCTGAGACTATTCCTCCAAAATGCACATCCTATATGGGTTTGAATAGCTTATGGTCTTATAAAAGACACAATTGCATACTCTACTTGGACTTGATTTATCTCAATTTACAGTCTTGGTTTTTGTCTTTACTGGCACTGAATACTTTATCAATTGATACTGAATGTAACATGACCAATTAGGGGCCTCATAGCTAAGCAGAATTTAATTTTATGATGCAATGCCTGCTATTCCCTACCACCCACAAAGCAGGAAGGATTTAGGAAGCTAGGCATGCCACAATAAGCTAATTCTAGAAGTCGTGAAGGTGCTGAAGCATTTGTTGACAGGGACCTTTTGAATTTTTTATAATAGAGCAATAGCATCTTTAGTATCATGAATTAGTGCATTCTGACAAAGTTACAGCTTTCCACCACTAAGCTACTCAGAAAGCTCTAGGACTTACAATAGGAGAGAATGAGGAAATACTGCTGATAAAGGTAAAGGAAACCTGCTCCTTTTACGTATCTCAAACAGCATCCAGTCTTCTGCTCTCAGCATTTTTACTGCATTTAATTGACTTGAATTTCTGCTTCTCTGGATCCACAGAAAATAAAATAACCACAGGCTCTCTTTCACTCTATATTTATACAACACTTAGCACAAGAGGGTTCTGGTCCTAATTGAAGTCTATAAACACTATGTTAATACAAATAAATAATAATGTTGGGTTAGTTAGTAGATGCATCAGGGACAGACTGCATGTAAATATGTAACAAAAAAACCCCAAAACAAAACCCAGAACAACATGGGAAATCTGTAGGGCCTCACAAATGGAATTAAATATACTTTGAATTGACTCAGTTAACCCAGATGCAAAATTTCTACAAACAATGTTATATTGATAGTTCATTTTTTTCATCTGATTAATTGTAACTGTTATAGGGGAAAGAATCTTACCTTTCTGAGTGGAGTTCCTTCTGCCTGTGATGTCAAATTAGGGAGGTGAATTCTAATGAGTCTTTTATAGTATACAATTAGGAATATTTTGGATGTTTATGTTGGTTTAGTCTGAAACAACTGTTAGTGGCTACTTTTTGTGCTGCAGTGTCAAGCCACATGGTCCATGTGTATATTTTATCATAGATAATCCTTCACCTTCAAATCTGATATAAAAGACTAAACAAACTTGGTAAAAAAAACATATATAGTTGCTTCCAAATGTAGGACAATGTTCAGTTATCAAAAGTCTGCAGTACGGCCTCCACAGAGTAACAAGAGTTTAACATGAGTATATTTGCATTAGCGTAATCCTCCAAGAGCCCAGTGTATACATATTCCCTCATTTTCTTTGTCTACTTAATTGCTGTGGGGAGTAGGAGGGGTCAGTCTTAAAAGACGTGCAGTGAGGGCATGGAACTGAAGTGATTCAAATACCCAAAGACTCTCCTTGTTTTTGGGAAGGAACCTGTATTTTTCCCCTATGTATTTCTAAAGATAAAGGAGGGAATGGTCTAATTATTTTTTTCCATCAGATATTTTAACCTGTTTGCTTTACACACACACACTGTTTTATTTACAATCCATTCTAATTTATCCAACCAGCTTAACAAATATTATATTTATTTACAGGAAACAGCCCTCTTAAATGCAAGTTATGATCTTCTTCCTGAGCACACTGTTCAAAGGTGAAGAATATTGGATATCAATTTTTTTAAATGTTTTTCAAGCTCTTGATAAAACCTAAGTGTATATGATTTTGCCTGAATTATACAGCTGTAATTGATTTTTTTTTTAAATTATAAACAAACTCCAAATTGTCTTTTGCACAGAAATCACTTTCTTCTCCAAACAAAGGTCACAAATTATATATTCTTACACTGCAGAACATTTTCTCCATTTCCTGCTG